AAGAAAGAAAGAAAGAAAGAAAGAAAGAAAGAAAGAAAGAAAGAAAGAAAGAAAGAAGAGGCCTCTGGAGTGTTTCTTCCCGGCCTTGTCCTGCTTTAGAGTCTACAGATGTTCCTGTGGTTGTGTCTCCTTGAGCAAGTCAACTGCCAAAGGTGAGTTTCCTCACAAGTGTCACAATGCCAGGATTAAAGGGGTCCACACATCTAATGCTTTGTAAACTGCAGCTTTATATAAATATAGTTATACACCTGCCAAGCTACACTCTAATAAAGATCCTTATTCAAAAAAACAAGACATTTAAAATGTCAACACTGGACAAATGTTATTCACAACATAATCTAAAGATTCCCACAAAATTTACAGTAGCTGCAAAAGAATTCAGCTGCCTACAATAGTTTACATTTGGTTTAGTCTATAGTATATTGCTTTATCTTAGGAAATATCCTTAATACAAATATGTGATTACAATATCCCATTATAACAAGAAAAAATAAATTCGTACAATGTTTTATAGGCATTTCTTATGCCACGTATTTAAACAATTACTGTCATTATTACATAAGAATAACATTCTTATTAAAAGGTGATATTTCATTAATGCAGAGACCTCTAGGAGATTTCAGATGGTTCCAGAGAGCTCTACGGCCACAAAAGAAACACGGCAGCAGAGGCCCCTGAGTGTCCACCACAGCTACAAAGACCCACTGTGTCACACAAACCTGAAGTAAACTGACTTATTACCAAGTAAAAACAAATTTTAAAAATCAGTTAACACTACTGCCCAAATTTGGCTTTTACTTGCTTTATACAAGTCTAAAATAAGAAATTTTACCATAAAGAACATATTAAAATTAACAACTATTTCTAATTCATACATAAACTAACATCTTCACCCTTACCGCTAAATCAAAACTTACCCCTAAGAACAATGTACAGAAATAATGTGCAAACACCGAGATTTGAGAGAGGCTGAACACCTCTTCCTACATTGTATGGATCAAAATGCAAAGATCCATCAAGTATGTGAAGGACACGTGAATTTGGGACACGTTGCTGTAACAGGTCTGTCTACACCTACATATACCACAAAAAAAACTCTGACATTGTTTGTGAGAGTATTGGTGTCTTTAAAAACCCAGTTATGCCATGTGAATATGTTTTTGCTTTAATCCCAGGTGTGGGATAAGAGGCTGCTTCACAGCAGGTGATTACGATTTGCCTCGTGCGCTAGCAGGGGCATGGTTTTTGCCAGGTGCAGATAGTTTACTCTTGGAAATCTGGGCACTCTAGAGAGGGTATAAATGCCAGAGCCCAGAAAGGGACAGGGGTGCTCCAAAGAGGCAGCTCCTGCTCCTCATTGCTGCTGTTGTAGCCTGATGAGAAGTTGTTTGAGATATTCTGACAGAGAAGATTGGACATGCCCCCAATGGCCCTAATCAGAAGGAAGTAGTCTAAAGAGGTCTACGCCCTCTTACCCCTCTAACCTTCCTTCTCTCCTACCTAGTGTTGGGGGGTTGGAAGAGTTAGGGTTGGATAAGGGCTCGAAAGGAGGTAGAGGTGTAGGAGCCCAATAAAGTAGCAAAATCAAATAAGCCCACAACGCTGTCTCCAGAAACACCACACTCTCTAGCCCCATGTGGTTTAAGATGAAACCAGGTTTCCTTCATTAAGTGACAACACCCCACTCTGCAACACAGACTGAGCTCTAAACACCAGAGTCTTGTCCGTTGTCTCCAGAGCCCATGACACACAAACTTCACCTTTACTCATGAAGTCTGAGTATTTCCCGTGTTCTGCAACAGAGAAAAAAATATCCGTGTCAGCTCACTTCACATACCATGGAACTCACAGCACAAGACTGAAGAAAAACACTGCATTTGTAGCAGCACCAGCCCCTACATTATGCTATTTTCAAAACATTATTATTATCATTTTCATGCTTTAAAAAGCAAACACAATACAAAAGAAAACCTGTGGATTCTGCCACCCACTCAGGTCTCCAGCTGGTCATATTAAGCAAAGTGATGCCAGATTTCATGAGATAAAACATTAATATTATACCAGGTTCAAGGTCAATAGCAAAGTCCCTCCCAACTTAAAACACTAAAATCCACAGGGGAAAGACTAATACACTAAATCTGAAAACCAACACAGCCAGGTTGGTGACCCACTCCCCTAATCCCAGCACTTAGGATGTAGAAGCAGGAGGTTCAAGGCCAGCATGGTCTACATAGCAAGTTTCAGACCAGCCAAGGTTACAGTGAGACAATGTCTCAAAAAAAAAAAAAAAAAGAAAAAAATCCCACAATACTAAAGCATACTCAAAATGTAGACCATAGAATGAGCTACACAAAATTCTAACAGTGAAAATCATGTCTAAGATGGTTGCTCCCGTGTGTGTGTGTGTGTGTGTGTGTGTGTGTTTCTCTCCCTGCTTCTTGTCTTCTGTAATGAGAAACTGTGAAGTAAAATGAAAAGGATAAGCTTCTAGCGCATGGGTGGCCATCAGGCTTTGCACTTGGGCAAGTCACTTCGCCTCTCAGGTATTTTGTCACTCAGTGTAACCCTCAGACATCAACTTGTTAGAAATGCTAACCATGCTATGCCCACATCTGCTGAAGAGGCAGCCTCGTGAGTGGAGTCTGAGCTCCCTGTCCTTTCTAACCCTGCTACCACACTAAACCTAACTGGAGTATCACAGTATAAAGACCTAATGGATTTCCAAAGACATTTAACCAAACCTGCAACCAGAACTACTTCATTGTCCCACTGAAAACCTCAATTTCAACCACCATACTGGAGAAACTATAAAATAAACTTTGTGGGCTGGAGAGAAGACTCAACAGTGTAGAACGCTGGCTGCTTTCACAGAAGGCCGGGGTTCATTCCCAGCATCCAAATGGTGGCTCACAACCACCTATCGCTCCAGTCCCAGAGGAGCCCTCTGGATGGCCACACTGAGCTTCTGTGGACACCAGGCACAAATGTGATACACAGATCTGCATGCAGGCAAAACACTCATACACACACAAAATAGAATAATTCCAAAAATAAATAATAAATAAAGCCTGTATTCTGAGCAGGGGGAAAAAATCAAAGTACTTTAAAAGCAGTACTAATGATAATGAAGATCTTATTTTTTCAATTTCTTTGTGCTTATAAGCCCTGAAACCATGCAATATACACTCTTTAAGAACTTTCATTTAAAGGAACAAGCATAACTAAAAGTAACTGAACTTGAGGTAATCTATGAAAAATGAGTGATTGCTAACGATAGTTTATTTCTCTTGGTTTCAAAGTAAGTTACAAACCAATAATGATACATTTCTGAAACGTCCTAAAAACCTCCAAAGAGCAAGTGAAACATCTCTGTTGTTACATCATGTTTAAATAATTATGAAACTTAAGAGCCACAAAGCACCTGGTGGGCTGGAGAGATGGCTCAGTGGTTGAGAGTCCTAGATAGTCTTCCAAAGGACAGTGTCTGATTCCCAGCACCCACATGGCAGCTCACAGCCATCTGTAATGCCAGTTCCAGGAGATCCAATCAATGCCCTTTTCTAGCCTCTGTGGGTACTGCACACATGGGCTTCCCTGACATGCAGGCAAAACATCCATACATTAAAAAGTTTTAAGGAATTTATAAACAAGCATTTGTTAAAAAGTAAACTCTGCAGGAGTCACACATTATTGCATCAGTCACAGATTACATCTAGAAAACACCTACTTGTCGTAGAAATTGCGTTCCAAGATACGAGGTAGCCATGCTGGTTAGGTTCTTGGTGCCCACTTTACACCGGATATAACCATATAGGTTGGCACCTTGCAGCACCACACCCATGATCACGACAGCCTGGGAGAGGGGAAACAATCAGTAGTTAGGAGCCCAAAACTGACTGCTCACTGTGCCATTAAACGAAACAAGGCAGACTGTGCCGAGAAAGGAAGTGCTGTCAGTCAGAAGCTGAACCAAGGAGACTCCTTAGCTTGCTGAAGGGACCTTCCTGATGCTACTCTGTAGAAGGCACCACATCGTTCCCAAGTGTCGTCATTTTCATTCATATTGTTTTAGTCACTTTTCTGTCACTGTGACAAAACACCATAATCAAGACAACAGAGAGAAGAAAGTTTTTCTTGGCTTATGGTTCCAGAAGGTTCGCGTTCATGATGGCAAGGCAGGAGCTCAGGCAGGCATGGTAGCCTTCACACATCCTGAGGCTCACATCCTAAGCCACAAGCACAAAGCAGAGAGCAAAGTAGGAATGGGGTGAGGCCTTAAGCTCTCCAAGATGCACCCCGTGACAGACTTCCTCCAGCAAGGCCACAACTCTGAAGGCTCAACAAACATCGCCAACAACTGGAGACAGAGTGCTCAAATGCCTGAGACTGTGGGGGAACATCTCACTCAAACCACTACTCATCCACATTCACGCTCACATTCAGGCCCATTTTCTTTCTCTCTCCCTCTCTCAAGCTGAACATGGAGCAAGTGAGAAAGATCTACCCAGTACACTGGTGAGTGCACGCCAGCTGGTCACGGAAAGGGAACAGGCTGCTCTCCCCCGGCAGGAGAAACACACTGTCCAAGGCTGCCTGGCCCTGGGGTCACCAAGACAGACAGCTGGAACCGAGAGGAGAGAGAAGACTCATGCCTGCTCTTAAACGTGGCTACAAAAGAACTAACTAATGGGATGATGCCCTGCAACTAAATACCCTACAAAAATCTGCAAACAGTACAGTAATTTATACCCGGCGGTCTATTACTCAATTCTATTGTTTCTCAATTCTACCACTCCCAAAGAAGCCAGAGACAACATGCAAACAGGCCAAGCTGGCTTCAAAAGAGGACGAGGGCAGATGTCAGGCAGGAAGGCCTGAAGTCCAGTGCGCTGGCCCCTGCTCTACAATCCTGTCAACAAGCACACACAGCAACACTGGCCTCTATGAGACAAAACAGCTAGACAGGGTAGTACTTTCTGAATCACAGTATCCTTAACCTGTTTTAGGTAAGATTTAAACATTCAGCTAAAACAACGGGTCAAAATTCTAGTAAAAGGAGTTAAAAAAAAAAAAGGGGGGGGGAGGCATCCAAGAGGGAGGGCCTGAGGAGAGAATCTATCAAGGTACAAGAAACCTTTGAATCAAATACCTTTATGAAACTTTATCACTATAAGGTGAACATAAGCCTGTAACTTAAAAAAAAAAAAAAAAAAAAAAAAAAAGTACATTGCAAAATGACCCGACTACCTCAAATATTTAAATGGTAGTCTGAAAGAACTATCTTTATTAAAATAAAAGCCAAAAGGAAGCAGAGCTTCCGCTTTCTGCTCTCATCTGACATTTCATGGGAATGCACAGAAGACTGGAGACTGTCGCCAGATCCCTAAGTGAACGTAAGCGTCTGCTTCAGTGGTCTCAGCAACTACCCAAGTGCACACTGGGACGCTCCTGGGAGTGATGTGCCAGCATGTCATGGGGCAAATCCACCTGGTGATGGAGCATGGGGCCTGATGGATAAATGAAATAAATGAAAACAAATTTTAAAATGTGTTTTTAAGTTGAAGATGGACAGTGAAGTCACACATCACAATCTCCTTCCCCTTGCAAGGCAACAAGTAGGCTTTTAAAATTATTTTAATTCTCTCTCTATCCCCCTCCCTTCCTACCTCTTTCTTCTTCTCCCCCCTTTCCTCTCCCTCTCTTTTTCCTTCTGTGTGTCTGTGTATGTACGTGTTCATGTGTCTATGTGCATATGTGTGGGTACACAGGTCAACGGTGGGTATTTTTTTCACTCATTTTCCACCTAACTGAATCCAGAATTTGCTAAGTTGTCTACACTGGCTGGGCAACAGGCCCTAAGGATCGTGGACTGATCCTCCTCTTGCTTCCCCAGTACTGGGACTAGAGGTGTGCATGCTGTACTAGCCTTTCATGAGGAAGCTTGAGGCTGAACTCAAGTCCTCACGCCTGAGCAGCAAGCACTCTACCACCTGAGCTGCATCCCAGTCCTCAAGCGCATTTTTAGGAAAAGCAAATCAACAAGTAAACACACAGAAGAGCTGCTGGTCAGAGAAAAGGTCTGGCACTACTCTGCAAGAAGCTCCAAGAGAAATAAACAAACGACTGTCACCTCGAAACTCACAGAGAAGCATAAAGTCAAAGGATTTACACAGCTGTAAGGGAAAAAATGCAGAAATGCAAGACTGGACTGACTTGCATTCAGGACCGGAGGCTCAGAAAGTGTTCACAGTCAACCGGAAGACAAGAATGGCACCCCCTGGGAGATGGCAAAGCCCACATAAGCTAGTCAAGGCAGTAGAGCCCGGCGGCACTCCTCCTCACACCTGTGTGTGCTGACCACCAACCATAGCATTTCCGTCCCAATTCATGGCAGTGACTACAAGCCTCAGTAAACACATGAATGCCATCAAGAATTCCCTCCAGGACAGCAGCGCAGGCAAGATGCTCTACCCGAGAGCTGCCACAGTGAACGTCAGCAAAATGGGCAGGGAAAAAGGAAAGCCACTCCACAAAACCTCACAGCAGACAACAAAGCAGCATGCTGCCAAAGACAGGGCAGGATCCATGCTGGAAGGGCAGAAGGAAGGTCTATAGACCCGGAGCTGAGAGTGGAGGCATGCCAGCCTCAGCCTTGGCAGCCCTAATCTGCTGCAGCTGCCCGCCTCCCCCACTTCCCACCACTCCTGCCACCATCAGGTAAAAACTCCACTTTTCAGTGTCTGTCGATCACTCCCCTAGAACAGGAGCTCTGCAGGACAGTTACCTTGCTTCTCTACTTGTTATGTCCCGCTCCCCAAGCAGCTGACAGAAGAACTCTTAAGACATCTACTGACCAAATAAATAGAAAAGTGAAAGAGTAGAGTAAGTGGAGACAGTGATGGAAACACATATGAATGACTCAAGATAGAGACAGATTATCTCAGAACTAGACAAGTGAAAAAACAGAAAAATAAACTTAAAGGTTAACACAACCCAATTTTCCTGCTAAACCAAAACCTGAGCTTGCAGAGTAAATGGGCACAGAGTACCAGAAAGGTTGATACATAATAAATGCAGACATGTCCGACCTGTGGCGCTTTAACAATGGGAGAGAGATAAGGGAAAAGAGAGAGAGAGTGATTATCAAAGAGAAAAAATGACTCAACATTCACATGGCTCTGTTTTTTTCTCTTAAAGACTCGGTAGCTTAAAGCAGACTGGAGTAACGAACCGAGTCATCCTTCGAAGGTAACCACAGACATTTGTTGGCATTAAAAGCTAATGGAGAATTGTAATTTAAGAAATTACAAGTCATTTCTTAAAATCTCACCCCACAGTAGAATGTAGGGAACCAAAAAGCACAGGAAGCTGCAACAAGCAGGTCTAGTGAGGAAGGCACTCGCCAAGCACATGCACACACAGCTGAGCCCAAGCCCGCTGCAGGGGCACACACCTGTGACCCCGTGCTGGGAGGCAGAGACTGGGGAGCACTGGCGAAGAAACAAAACAGCCACCAGAGGTCTTGCTCCACCTTCTGCAAGCACCTGTGTTCACACCCATGTGCTGCCTTCCCACAAACACACGCATGAGTGCCCACAAGTAGATCAAGACCAAAGAGTCAGAAAGTACAACCAGGGTAATTGTTCTCAATCCCAACAGTCAAAATAACACAAGAACAAACAAAAATGGAAAGCAGACAGGGACAGAGGAATGTTTCTTTTCATCTACATCAAGTCTTTAAGTCAGTGGTTCTTAACTTGTGGGTCTCGAACCCTTTGGGGTCGCATTTACCGTGTGATTCATAACAGTAGCAAAGTTCCAGTCATGAAGTGGCAACAAAATAATTTTATGGTTGGGGTCACCACAACATGAGGCCCGCAGGACAGGGTCACAGCATTAGGAAGGCTGAGAACCACTGCTTGAAGTCAATAGAAACATGTAAGTACAGAACTTGGAGTGATAAAGAAAAGCACTACACCTGAATTAAAGCCCCAACAGACTGGGATCCGCCAGTGGGAGAGGATAAATGCTGTCTCCTCTACCACTGCAGCAAACCCATAAACACTGACTGCGTCTCCTAATTTGTGAAAGATTATGATACAAATATACAAAGATGATTGTTAAAAGTAAAAACAAATGGAGCTCCCACATCCTAACAGGAAGATATGAGTGTATACACACAACACCAAGTTGTTACGGGAAAACATGGACAGGAGACACTAAAGCCTGGGAGCAGGGATCCAGTTAGGGCCCAACGCATGACAAATGCAGTACACCCAACTGTTACAGAGACAGGACTCCCAGTTTGGCTCAGGTGGCAGGCTGCATCTTTCAAACCCAGCAGGAATAGTACTTCTGCCTCACATGCTCTCCCACATCCTAATTCCCGGAAGTGAGAACCCAATTTCCATTGAGCACAGTGAGTGGCGGCAGTGAGAGCGCAAACCACAATGAATCAGCCCATGAGCTGGACCAGCTGACCCGCTGCCGAGGGCCGACACACAGCTGACAGTCGTTCTAAGCTCCTGAGGTCTGGGGTGACCTACTACCTGCACTAGGTAGAAGAGGTTGCCAACCAGTTTCCTTAAAGGACCACAACAGCCACTGACACCATGGCAACGGGCGAGTGGCTGCGCCCCAGTACTCAGGCAAAGAGTTGAGGCTGGAACTTGGAAACACCAGAAGAAGCAACCCAGTCAGGATGGGCCCGATGTGGGGGTCAGATGATGACCAACTGCAGTTACCCTTGAACGAGGCTACTTACCAGCCACTTCACTCTGAAGGAAAAGAGTGCACTGAAGGCAAAAATCACCCACAGGACTGGACAGGCGATGAGGCCTAACCAAAAGATTCTTGACTCAGCCTCAGAAATGGTTTGGTTGTCTTGAGGAGTTGACTACAAAAACAAATGATGGAAACGTTAAATCAACCATCATCAGGTTTATCAGTAAAGGTTTCTGTTTAAATGGAAAACACATTGCACTCGAACTCAAACATTAAAAGGCAATCCAAGCCCCAAGTTAGAACCAAACATACAAGTTAGTGGCTCTACCACTAAACAACCTTAATAAAGGCACTATTACACTTTGTTTTGGATCAGGAATTTTGTACCTTTGGGACAGACAGGAAGACATGGCCTTTCACAGCCACGAACTCAATTCTCCTTGCACTAGTGCTGTTTATTTGTAAGAAAGCTCTGCACCATCTAGATGATGTCATGTCTCGGCCAACCCCAGGAATTGAGGAGGGTGATGAGTTGTTTCCAATGCAGATTTGGGGTCAGCAACTCAAGCTCACTGAGCAATGTGCTGCTTTCTAGGAAGCATTACTTGGAGAGGCTTTTCCAGTCAGAGCGCAAACAATTTAACTGGCAGCGTTGCCTAGGTTCTTATCTTCTGCCTCCCAAAACACTTCCACAAGGAAATGGAATGTTCACTACTAGGAAGCAGAGTGATCTCAAACAGGTTCCCCACAATTTCCGAGGGCACTGGCTTAAAGGATAGACTGATCATTCTGACCCTGCACCCAGCTGCAATCTTCTTCCTGACAAATAGGAATGATCTTGGAAACAAAGACAAGATATGATACGGAGAAAGTGTCTGCTGAACACAGAAAGGTCTAAGGCGATGCCCAGCAGGGAACAAAGCTGGGGCCACCAGGCGGACTTTCACCATCAGGCCAACAAGCAGCTTAGCTTGCCCTGCTCTCAGGATCCTGGTCTGGGTGTGCCTTGTTTCCAGACAGAAGAGCAAAAGCACCGTGCTTTGGTGGCTGCCTGACTTGGTACTAACAGGGCAAGTGATACACAGCAGGGCGTCCAATCTTGCCTCCTCACCCTTTGGTACTCAGAAGGAACCTGCACATACTTCGTCAGTTTACCTTTCTGGACTCGAATATCCAATGGCTCTTCCCATCCTCATCAATATGATTCCACCAGCGTAGGCCAACCATTAGTCTACCTGTGACATTCTGTGAAAAATTAATAGAACATATTCTTAAGCATTACTTAAAGCATTATAAATCCCATCTTACTGTACTATTTCACAAAATTCTTCAGCTCTCCCCAGAATAGCCAGCTAACCCTATGTACCAGGCCTAGCTACAGACTAAACAAAATGGCCATGCCAAAATCAGGATGCATGGAGCTTACAGGATAGGCAATAAGCAGACCCAGAGCACTACCCATTCTTCTCACCAAGATGGAACACCTGTTCTTCCTCCAAATCTCTTAACTCCTTCCTAGGTCTTCCTTTCCTTCATTCCAGTTTTAATTTTAAGATGGGGCCTGTCTTAAGAGTTACTACTGCTGTAATGAAACACCATGACCTAAGCAACTTGGGGAGAAAAGGGTTTATTCAGCTTACACTTCCACATTACAGTTCATCATCAAAGGAAGTCGTGGCAGGAACCTCGAGGCAGGAGCCGATGCAGAGGCCATGGAGGGGTGCTGCTCACTGGCTTGCTCCTCATGGCTTGCTCTGCCTGCTTTCTCACAGAAACCAGGACCACCAGCCCTGGGAAGGCAACACCCATAATGGGTGGGGCTCTACCTGGGGATCCTCCCTGATAAATTACTAACTAAGAAAATACCCCACAGGCTTGCCCACAGCCCAATATTTTGGAGGCATTTTCTCAACTGAGGCTCCCTCCTCTCTGGAAAACTCTAGCTTGTGTCAAGTTGACATAACACTATCCAGCACAGGTTCTCATATCACAGCCCTAGCTGACCTAGAACTCACCATGTGGACCATGCTATCCAGCACAGGTTCTCATATCACAGCCCTAGCTGACCTAGAACTCACCATGTGGACCATGCTAGACTTGAGCTTTTGATCTTTTTGCTCCTGCCTCCCAAATGCTAAGATTACAGGCACCCAACACATGCCCGTCTTAGGCCCCTATTTCCTCTAATCTTACACTGCCAAGTTTCTTTGTGTTTGAATTGGTCTGATATTATCTTGGCTACTTTTATTTTTATCTAATGTCACCATTTCAGTTAAATCTTTTTGGTCAGAGTTTGACTTTGACGCACTCTCAGAATTCTTATCTTTAGAATGAAATTTTAACCAATATGTATTTCCTTAACAATAGTTACTATTGAAACAAATGTGCTCTTACTTTCAACCCTACTTATGAGCACCAAAAATGCTTCAGACGTTGAAAAATATCCTATGGAGGCAAACTTGGCCCCTGGATGAGAAAGACTGCTATCAAGTCCCAAGTACTCTGGAGCTTTTGAAAAAAAAAAAAAAAAGGAGGGTGGTGTTCTTCTTAAACATTTGCAGACAAACTATACTGGAACTTTACAAAAAACTATACCCAGAATATTCATAAATGGCTTCAGAATAAAGTATGTAGATTCTGTGGTTGCTAGTGATGTTTTGTAGCTTGGCTCGCACATGGCACAACAACTGAACATCGTTCCTGTGATCAGATGCACCCGGTGCACCTTAACACAGGAAAGCTGTAGTAACAGATGAATCACCACCAACCCAAAATGCTGTCCCGTTCCTTTCAATTTATTCATTATTAGAATCCATACTGAGTGCAACTTTAAAATAAAAACAACAGAACCTACCTTCACTGCCCAGAAGTCACACGACAGCAGCAAGATAATTGTCACCATACAGGCGATAAAGCTGCTGCTGAGCAACTCACAGAGGAGATAGACTACGACCGCGCTGACTCGGAAGAACAGGTGGAAGAAGGATGCCACTGGGTGTCTAAAATCAAGACACAGGAAAACAAACACAACTGCTAGCAGACCCACAACTGTGACAGCAGGGGAGACCCGGGACAGAGAGCAAACAGCTCACCTCTTTCTTAAGTCCCCACCACTAAACTAGGTTCTTTTGTCACAAGAAAATATATTACACGAGCTGACCCCTCATTGAGTATAAACTTTCAAAGCTCCTAGCCAGATCTTAGCTTAGCTTATGTAATCACATCACAAGAGCCCCAGACTGAGAAATCACTTTGAGCTTTGTATCTTCCTTTTCCTCTTTTTTAACTGGCTTTTTTATAAATAGGGTCTCACTAGGTAGCTCAGGCTGCTCTCAAATTGATACTCTTCCTGTCCTCACCTCTGGGATTACATGTATGCATCATCATACATATATGTATACTTTTTATAAAACAGCTTCATTGGCAAACAATTCAAGTACCACAGAATTTATCTACAAATTAATGTTTTTTAATATATTCAGTTGTGTGACTATCACCACAATCAATTTAACAATATGTTATTACTCCTAAAAGCAAGTCTGTTCCTACTGGCAATCAGCTCTTTTATTCCCAACCCCTATGCCCTAAACAACCAATCATTTTTCTATGTCTATAGATTTACCCCCTATACAAGTTCCACCTAAGTAAAATCACAAAACACTTTGTCTCCTGTGACCACCACCTTTCACTTAACACAGTGTTTTCAAGATTCAAGTAGAATTTTACTTTATTAATTTCTTTAGAGGAAATATATTTAGATGTACATTTAATTTTGTGCTACTCATACAAGACATAATTCTGAAATTTACAAAAGAAATAAAAATGTATCTACAAAAATGAGTCTCCTTGTTTTGTGATTTTTGTCTCTCTTTTTTAAGGAAAGAACTGAACCCAGGGCCTTAAGCTCTACCACTGAGCTAAGACCCCTCCCCTTATATAAAGAACTTATATAAAGAGATGGTACATTCTCAGAAAACGGCAGTCAGCACAGACTTTAAAACATCAGTATTCAAATAACTGATTTCCAGGTTTGCTAATTTGAGAGCTTAGTGTCAAACAAAATTTTACATGCCAACTACTAATTTCACGTTACCTCAGCCTCACTGTCAAATCAACAACAAATAATTCACAAGTATGCCTAACTGTAAAAGTAACTTCTATTTGCCTGAGGTAAATGTCGTCGTGGAGACTTACCACAAACCCAGGCCTAGTCCTGAAAGCTTCTAGTCTTTGTAGAATCTAATCTAGGCCTAGAATGCTTTCCGCCTCTGAGACTTACTACTGAATAAGCTCACCCTTTCTAGCTCTTTCTGAATCCTGGCTGGCTGGTTCAACTCAACTCTTTTAGCTCAAACTCCTTTCCAACCTAACTGATTCAAAACTGGCTTCTCTCAGCTTCTGACTGAATTGTTCCACTTGGCCTCAAACTAACTCTAGCAATCTGTTCTAATCTTCTGGCTCCTTCTCATTCTCTGGCTTATTTTGTCTTCACCTGTGTCTAGTTTGTTCTTTCTTCAACTGGTCTCGATGAAATTCTCCAGGTAAAACTGCCTCTCTCCTCTCTCTCAATCTCTTTCTCTCTCTCTCCCTCTCCTTCTCTGCTGCTGCTGCTCTTAGGTCGCCTCTCTTTCCCTAGTGTTCCCAGAGAATTAGACATATCCTAGTCTGTCAAATCTTTCTCTCACTCATCACTTTGTTTGCCTCTCAGTTATACATCACTTTCAAACATGGATGCATACTTCTACAAATGTTACCTTCATTCCTTGGGATTAAGGGTGTATGCTAAGGATGTGTCTGTATTCCAACCAGAATAGCCATGTTGCTGGACTAAAATCCCTTTACACCTAACCTACTCTGCCTTGGATAACCCCATGAGCTCATTTTGAAGCCCAGACCTGACCCCCAACCCCCAGGTGGCATTACTGGTATGAGAGGTACTGTAAAACCTTAGGAGGTGGGCCTAGCTAGGAGTGGGCCACCTTGGGCAGGTTATGGTTCTGTTTCCAGGCTGCCCTGAGGCGAGCAGAGTTTCTCTACTACACCCTTCTGACACAATGTCCTGAAACACCATCGACCCAGAGGCAGAGCCAAAAAGCACAGTGACCGTGCACTAAAACCTCCCAACACACCTTTTTCTCTTTCATTTCTGTCAGAGGTTTTCTCATATCAAAAGTGGGACATCTTTAATCCTAGCACTAGAGAGACAGAGGCAGGTATATCTCTGAGTTCCAGCCCAGCAAAGGCTACATAGTAAGACTGTATCAATTAAAAAAAAGTCAACATGAATCCCATCAGCTGGCACCAACGTGTGGGCAGAACAGATTGGCAGGAACACAACTCCAACTCAACTTTGTACCTGATTTTGGATCTTCTGGGTCTATTGGTTGTCTCCTCTTCTGCATCAAACAGTGAGACATCTTCAGTGTCATCATTACTGTCCTATCAGGAAATTAAATATCTACAATAAAAATGAAATTCAGTGCTGGTATGCCTACTATACACAAACCTATATAATCCTCAAAATGGAAGGTGAAGTCATGAGTTACAACTACCAGGAATTCACAGCCTAGGAAAAAAGGCACCTGCAGATCCTCCACCCCAACTCCAATCATCTGAACAAAATCTCCTCACTGACAACCTAATAATCAGTAACATCAGACTGGGCCGTGAAAGAACTGGGGAGCAGATGATGCTCCTGAACACTGACATCTACTGTCAGCTACTCTCTCCCAAGTCACAGAGAAAACTGAAGCTACTGGGATAAAGTTAAACGGTTTCTGGCTCCTTCAGAAAACCATGCGACGACATCCTGCTTCCATGACTTCTCCCCATGCTTTCTCTTCTTATCTGAGGCTAAATCAACAACTCTCACACCTCTAGGGCTCGATGCATCATTTTCTCCCTTAGTCTTTCAATCAGGTGTTTCTAATTACTATATAAAATCCTTCACACCAGAGTGATGATCCTGGAAGAGGAATAAAGTGCTCCCAGGAAGATCCCAACAACTGAAGAATGTTGCTCCTAAGATGAAAGAAAGCAAAAGACTACTGGGTTTCCAACATTCTTCTGAGAAATCCTAAGAGCAGATAAAGGACAGTGAGGAAGCAGGGAGAATGACCAACCAGAACTAATGGGGCAGAATTAAAATACAAGCATGCACCGCTGTTTTAAGAACAATGAATGAGGTGACATCAGTTATTACATTTGAAGTTTTTACTTTTTCAAGTTAAAAAAAAAAAAAAGTGTAAGTTTGGCCCCTTGTGCCTGTAATTCCTGCATGTGAAAGGCTGAGTCAAGACAGTTATCAGTTGGGAGACAGGTGAAGGGAAAAAAGGGGAGGGGGGTAGAAATTAAGGCATGTCTTTGTGCTAAGACAAGCTTTTCCAAAAGGGGGGAAAGAAAAAAAAAAAAAAGGGAAGGTAATGAACAGTCCAACCACTGGTGAGCACGCCCCAGTGGGCAAAGGTGAAGCTGTATTAGCAGCGACCCAAGAACTGAGTACCACAGAATCGACAGAAGAACGTGGGGGTGATTGATTAACAAGCAAAGATGCAGACAGGGAGGGAAGCGGTATGAAAACTCCTGTGGTAGGCTGCTTCTCGGTGAAATGCGAAGCAAGATTATCAGACCAAACACAAGGGAATAAATGTTTAAGTTTGCAGAAAAGTTTTAATGCCCAAGTTGCCTGGGGAAGGGAAGGCGGAGACTATAAAAATGTCAAAACGCCCAGCAGGTGGAAGGGCTCATCCAAGGTTCATGGTCACAGACTTAAGAGTAGGAACAGTTGGCATGGTTGCCTGTCCCCAGCCTCCTTCAATCTGGGTGCACCCTTCAGAGAGCGGAGTTGAACTCACCAATGGATTTTCTCTACTCCACATTTCCCCATAGGACACTTTTCCTTATCACCAATTCCGGCTGGCTCATCCTCAAACACTTGGTAAGTCACTATGGCTTTGCTATCATGATCCAAAAACACGTTGTTCCCCAACCTAACCTCATGTCTCCACCCCCTTTTCAAACACCATCTCCTCGAACACCCCAACCCCAACCTGCCAACGCAGGGCAAGAATCGTGTCTGATACAATCTCCATGGGAGCTCACAGCAGCACTTTAAAGGAAGAAAACATTACATTAGGTCTACTTTAGCCGAAAACTGGCGACAACGATCCCTACGGGCATGTGATAACCATCGTGCCTATCAGTGTAACAACGTGGTAACAGCTCTGGCAGTCTCCTACAGGACCGCCCCGCACTTGAGGGTGAGGGCAGGAGAGCTGAGCGATGCTTACGCGCCATTCCTCTCATCAGGGTGGGCTGCGGAGAGACGGCTCACCCCAACCTCACACCCAGAGCTTCCAGCGGCCAGTGCACCACGCCCGCTGGCGACCCGGGTCTAAACAGCATCCCCGGCTCCGCGCCTCGGGGTCCGCCCGAGCCCTCGGAGTTCTCAGAGCCATATAGCAACAACTGGCCCTTGGCGCTGCACTCCTGCCCACCCAGCCTGTCCTTCCTCCATCTCAGGAGGGGGAGGAGAGATGGAGGAGAAGCACCCGGCCACAACAGCCTCGGGGGGCGGGGTGGGCAAGAACCCGGCACCAACTCAAGCGAGCCCAGCCGCCCTCCCTCACCTGCGACAACATGACGGCCCGGCGCCAACCCCCCCACTTCCGGGAGCCACGTCAGCGCGGCAGCTACCCTGTCCGGCTCCACCGCCAACACACAGGTCCAGCCGGAAGCCACTTGCCGGCAACACTTCCTTTCAATGAGCCTCGTGGGAGGGAGCAACCCCCGGGACCGGAAAAGCGGTGGGGGGGTCTATACCGCAGGGGGCGGGACCGCGTGGTGGGCGGGGCTTCGAGGAGAGGGCGGGCCGCGCGGTAGGAGGCGGGGCCTGGCCTGGAGGCTCTGCAGTGGGCGAGGCAGCGGTGGGCGGGGCAAGCGTGGGCGGGGCAAGCGTGGGCGGGGCAGGCGCTGCACCTCCAAGCGGAAGCAAAACAGCTGGTGAAGAGTTGGCTGAGGTGGTAGGTTCCGAAGAGAAGTTTCGTGGGTTACGAAGGAAAAATGGTTTTTGCTGCCTGTGAAGTACAGACTGTGAGACATTACCACCAGCGCGGATGCCCTGAGAGAAACAGGGCTTTATTCTACAATTTCACTTTGTAAATGTATTCAGTCGTCTTTCTTTTACATCTTACATTTTAGAAATACTTAAGAAAAAAAATGTGTCCTTGGGGAGGAGTGGAAAATGAAGAAAAGGCCAGAGGACTAGCGTTAAGCGGTGGGGGTACCGCTGTAAAGGGCATGACCTCAGACCACGAACACAGGCTTACACCGAGGCCCTTGGGTTTCAGCATCTGCCCTCTATACGGCAATTACATAGTCAATCTCTGTGTACATCTTTTCTCAGTTGTAAAGTGAGAAGGGTAGTAGTGGCTGTACAGTGCATTTGGTTAAACGGCAGTGTTTTTATTACTGTTTTAAGTCATCTGCTGAGGGCGTGAGCCTGCCTACACCTAGGATTCAGAGAATTTAAAGCCGTCTTCACAATTGTAATGATGGCAATATTCTCTTTGCTCGACTTATGTCAGACTGTTGGAAGACTCATGCTGTGTCTTTTCTTAGCTGAAGGGACTGTTCACTGAACCCAGGATTTTATCTTTGCCAAAACTATTCCAGACCTAGGGTCCAAACAGTGAAGAGACATCAACATAATCCCCCAAGAAGAGAAAGCTTGGCAAGGCAAATAAACACCTTCCTGCGAAGGTGGATGGATGACATATGTCCTAATCTGGTTGCAGAATTTTTTTGGTGGCCCTGCCTTGAATTGTGGAATTCCACCATGTACGTATGGAATTATCTTTTGGTTGTTCTCACCTTTATATGGATGCAATGTGAACTCATTGCCATACTTTTAAAATTGAGAACATTTGACAAGAAAGTGAATGTCTGACCCATTTGGGGTGTTTTGGTTTGGTTTGGTTGTTTGTTTTGTTTTGTTTTGTTTTTTCCTTTTCTTTTTGGAGGATTGGGGAGGGGTACATATTTGTTTGCTTGCTTTTGAAACAGGTTGTTGCCTTTTAGTACCAACTGACTAGATGCTTGGCCGTCCAGCCTCGCAAGAAGGCCTGACTGACACTGCGGAGTCCCTGTGTGGGGACTACACTCTTTGTGCAGGTCCTAACCCCTTCAGTGAGCCATGTCCCTGCTGCTGGCTACCCTTTTCAAAATCACCTGCCTCGTCCATTATATGCCCCCTAAGTATTTAAACAGGAGCCTCGACATACTTGCTATTAGAGCCTCATTTTGTAGAAAATATGAATATGCTTCATTTTCTTCTGATGGAGTATGTTCTGATCAGTAAGATCACATACAGTGTTCTAAATACAGGTCAGTCTTTTGAGCTCCCCACCTCCTTTACTGGAACTGAGTTTTGTTCTATGCAAAAAAAAAGTACCAAGAAGTTTTTGTATATTATCGGGATATCCTCTGCTATCAGTGGATGTCAGCCGTCAGTGAATTTGCCTACCTCTCATCCAGTGGAATGCGGGTGGCACTCTCGCCCTGCCTCCTGATGTTTTAGCGTAATGCTGTCCATTCTGATTCATAGAAAGGTTCATGTGAATTGCCAAAGAAATGCCAAAAAAGGTCAAGACCCCACACTCACTTGGGTTTCTGTGTGTTTTAATGATGCTGTAATTTTCCCAAGCCTGGTTTAGATAAATTCGTTTTGCCCAAGTTCAGGGGCCGCTGTTTTCCCCTGCTTTATGAAATTATCAATAGGCAGACCTTTGATCTTACGAATCCATGCAGCTCTGTGGGCTTTTTCTGGGTCGACTTCTTTATTGGATTTACTGGCTTGATATTCCTTCATCTTGGCTTCCTCATATTCTTTCTCTTCCTTCACAGTCAACAGCATGAACCCAGCGTTCATTCTAAGAGGATCAAAGGTTGTGTAGAAGCGTGGCCGGTCTTTCCTTAGAGACAGGATGGCTGTGCTGCCTCTGGGAGCAAGCATTCGGTTTGGTTTAATGACCTGCGTGCTGGTCAGAGGACCTACACGGCGCATTGTCCCCTCAATTGAACTGGTCGGTTGCTCTTCAATCCTTAAGTTGTCAGAAATCTTGGGACGGATAAGTACAGGCTGGGGAATGGTGGACTGGACTGTGGGACTGTGTAAGGATTTTTTCAAATTGGGCTGCAGCTTCTGAATCTCAAGGGGAATCTTGGTTTGTTTCACGTCTGTAAGAAGATTGCTGGATCGCAACTGATCAACTGCATGTTGGACTGATTTTCCTTTGAGAGTTAGGACTTTCCTTTTAAATGGAATTGAAGGTCCCCAGGCATCAATGACTGGAGTCTGGGGCCTGTGGGGATAGGCAAATTCTCCAGAATTGTGGGCCTGTTGCAAAGCATTGACAGTCAGAAGGAATCGGTCAGGTGTCATGGGGACTTTCCAGAACTTTTTCATTGGATGAACTTTATCACTTCCAGGGCTTTCCATATCACCTGCTTTTTCAGAAAGAAAAGAAAAGCACGTCAGCGTTCCATGGAAAACAGTGACCAGCTATGCGTACAAGCTGAAGCTGCAGTGTCATTTGTTTTGTGTGCCTTGCCCTTTAAAGGATCCCCAGTTGCTAGTCAACTGGACCTTTAAGAGAACTGCTTGACCCTATGACCTTCAGTGTCCACTGCCTCTTAGATTTCTGGGAACAGGAGAGGATATAAAAAGCCAGCAGAGGCTGAGAGAGGGGGAGGAGGGTACAGGTGGCAAGAGAGGAGAGTAGGGTTAGAGAGAAGTACAGGAAAAAAAAAAAAAAAAAACAAGATTGAGTGGGGATAAAGAAGAGAGATTGAGCAGACTGAAATGGGAGACCACTGAGCCAGGAGAAGCTGAGCTGAGCTAGGGAAGACACTGTAAGGAGACAGTTGGAAATGACGTGGGCTAGCAGAGTGAAAAAGATAGCTGGTGACAGCCGAGCCAGGAGACGCTAGAACAGTTGTTAGAGTTTGGTGCTGCTAGTGTTGGGAAAATTGGGAGAAGGGACTGTTTAAGTACACTGTTGGGAAACTGAGGGAGGAACAGTTAGGAACAAATGTTTGAAGGGACTGGGTGCAAAGTGGGAGGGGAGCTGTCAGGGAGTTAACAGGACTGGATATAGATGGCTGGGGCTGGGTCATGTTTACTGTTTACCATTGCCCACTCTGACGGACGTTTTATTTGTAGGGAAAAAAAAAAAACTTAAAAAGAAAAAAAAATGCACTTTATGTGAAGCCATTCTGTGAGGCACCCTAAGGTCTTGTCACCCAAAAGGCATGTCACCAACATCCCAGATGACGTCAGAAATGATGGCAGCAGAAAGGGTTTGTTTTTAATGACTATCCTAATATCTGTGTAAAGTGTCCTATTTTGAAGGCAGCCTGTGTAATTCCAATGTTGCGCACATGTTCAAAAAAGTTAACTGACTCTCACATCTCATGACTCACATAAAACAGGTGTTACAGATTTATAGCTTACCTACATCGTCAGTAATAACCAAAGGTCAACTCTCACTTCACTAGCCAGCTTTGGTCATGTTTCCCAGAATTGGGCCTGCATTCTAAGAATGTCACTGCTTCCTGCTATGATATATCCATAGCACGACTAACACTAGACTCCTAAGGAGGAATCCTCAAAACGTTTTGAACAATAGTAATGAATCCAAAATATTCACCAGAATACTGCCTACAAACCACTTTATAGTCAAGGAACGTAAGACCGTTAAGTTAATGAAGATGTCTTCTTGGGTAAACCCATTTCTTATATCACTCCCAGTACCTCATAGAGATGCAAAAAGACAGGGCCATTGCTTTTACAGACAGCAAAAGCAAAAGAGAAATCAGTTGCCTGGTCCAGATTTAACAACAATCTGAACTCACAGCATATAGTTTCGCTTAGCCATTGAACAGCTTCCCAAAGGGACAGATTAGGGTGGGGTGAAACTCCAAGTGTTCCCCAACCTTAACCTTGCTAATTAGTGTCTTATAAAAGCATGTAACACTGAGCTAACTAGTTGTCGGAATATTTTCCTCACCTTCCAAATGCAGAAAAACGTGGGTTGATTTTTTTTTTCCTTTTTCATTATTCTGGGGACTTGTTGTTGGGTTTTTCTGGGAGTTTTCTGTGGGGGCTGATATGTCCTAGATATGCAAGTAATTCACATGGACTCTTCATGGTATAAAGCTTGGTTGTGGGGATCTCCATAGTGGTGGGTTGGGGTCACTGTTTGCCGTTGCCCACTCTGATGGACATTTTATTGGTTAATGATCAAGCTTAAGGAAATGCAACTACCATTGTACCCATCATGTAGGCAAACACGAGGAGCCAGGGACTCCCTGGAGCTACTTTGCATGTAGTGAGGACACCCACAGTTGTTAATGGGAGTATAAGTTGATTGTGCTTTTTTTATGTTCAACCATGACAATAACTTTCCAGTTTTTAAATGTGTTTGTCCTTGGGCTCAGCGGTTGTATTCCCAGAACTTCGCCCTACGCGTAGACCTGTATGTGCACAAATGTAGGATGCCCGTGATGAGGGCAGACCACTAAACCTTAATTGACTCACGTTGAAACCAGTGTGCAGGGAGTTATTTCAAAGGAACATTATTATTAGTCCAAACTGTTAGGAAAACACTGGAAAAGCTTACCAATACCTTCCAAAAACATCAATGAGGCATCCTAGCCATAGTGTCTAACAGTACTTCTTAAAATCCCATTCCTGTCACTTCCCTGTCATCTCCTTACCTCATATACATCACACACACATAGTCACACACACTCACGGTGCACACACATACGCACCACATCACACACACTCACCACACACATACACGCCAAAGCACACATATACACACCGCATACAAACACATACCACACACACATCACATGTACACAGCATGTACACATACACACCATACCGTACACACACTCAGATCTCTCTCCTCTCTCAAGGAATTCCAGCCTGAGCTCCTCTTCTTTCTGCTGTGCCCATTAATCTCGTAGACCCCAAAGCAAGAAGGAGCCAGAGACAAGAAATAGGTAAGGTGCTTAGAAAGGCTTCACTCCATGGCCACAAGTTAGTAAAGAGACAGGAAGCTCATCCCTCTTAGGAGCCCGTGGGAAACCAGTCCTTTGACGGAAGCATAGCCGTGCCACTCCCAAAAAAGCAGCAATTTGGGCTGAGAAACAAAGCTAAGAGAGAGAGAGAGAGGGGGGGGCTGAGATTGTAGCTCTTAGTGAAAAGCAAAACATCACCGTTTGTCCTCTCTTCGGTGTCAAGGTGTGAAAACAGACTGTCTTCCTCGTCGTCCGTGCCACCACCAGCTCTCCTCCTGCCATCCTGAGGGATGCCTGGTTTTCCTGCTTCGTATAGCTCTGTTGGTACGATTAGATTGAGATTGAAGAGGAAACCACAGTTGTTACGTAATTCAGTTAGGCCTGCGAGGTGGGGTCACAGCAGCAACCCAGCTGCTTTTGCTCAAGGTGCCAGTGTCTGGGTCTTGTTGCCAGGGTCTAGTAGCAAGGTGCCAAGGTCTGGGTCCCATCGTGCCTTCCCTCCCATGGCCTCTCCTGTGGGCTATTGAGCCTCAAGCTTGAAACTGATGTGTTGGGGTTCTCTGGAGATCCTGGGCACAACTTCTTGCCACAGGGGACAGGTAGGAAGGCAGGAGCCTTGCTAGTCTAGCCCACACATGATCTGCTCTTTAGATGCCATAAACAGCATAGACCGCATACAAACACACCTCCCCCACCCCCCCAACCCCCCCCCCCCCCCCCCCGTGTCTGTTCACATCTGCCTTATAACTATTGTTTTCAGGTGCACAGATTCTATCTCAGAGGTCTAATGGTAACACAGTCGGTAGTGCAAGTTTTTTTGTGTATTTTAACTTTGTGTCTCTCTCGGGAACATAAGCAATAGCTTAATTAAATGTCCACAGTAGTTCCTTCCATCTCTCTCTGTATAAACACATACACGGGCACACACACACACACACATCCTGCCGATTCCCCCGTTCATCCCCCGACCCCAACCCACCAACCCTCTCCACCCCACCCCCCACTATCACTGAAATCACAGTGATCTCGCTGCTTTACCTAAGGATTGCTCTTTGCCTATCTTCAGAACAACTCGGGTCTTGGGAGGGTTATTTAGTAAGAGCTCCTGTTTACTAGACAGCGAATCTCTCAGGCTTTGGACCTGAATGCTAGTCCTGGAATACACAGCCCCAAGGCTGCTTCCCTCCTTCTCCTCCTCTTTGTCCTTGTTCTTCTTTGCTTTGCTTCTGTCTGAGGCGTACTGCCACTGTATGTTTTCAAACTGGAACAGGATAATACTGCTGTCTGTCTGGACCACCATCCTGGAACAAGCAAAATGACAGTGCCCACAAAAGGAGCGTGGAGGCCACTGAAACACACACAGCAGTCGTGTCTTCTCCAACCCCTAGGCTGAGGGAGCTGTGGCCAGGCAAAGACCTCAGGAATGGGCTGGCTCGGGGCGTTGCCTTGAGAAAGCAGGGGTGCCTCGGGCAGGGGTGGGTAGTTTTGAAACTGTTTTCTTTGTGACTTAGTCACGAAAGGGACACGTGTTATGGTTGCTTCACTGCTTAGGTTGGAAATACCTTTTCGGTGGATTTCCAGTTCTGGAGTGACAAGCATCTAGGATGCCCCAAACAGAAGCTTAGGTACTCTGCTCACAGATGTCTGAAAATTTACCCTCTGCTCCTTTTCAAGCTCAGTATCTAGACTCAGTGTTTCTATTTTCACCCTTGGGATTAAAACTCTTAATGAGGAAGTCTCCTGTCCTTCGCTGAGCTGACACACAAAGCCCTATGTGGCTTCCTGGCATCCTGTAGGGTCTCTGGACAGGGTGGAGACACTTCATAAATCATGGTGATTTCTGTCACCTCTAGTCTTTACTCTCACACCCCAGGGTACAAAGGTTTGGAACTCATATTTCCCATCCTTAATACACCTCCCATCTCCTACTCTTTCTTTCACTTTTTTTTTTTCCGTTTGCACAAAGCAAACCGTTTTCCCGTGTGTCTGGATTTCCTGGACTATGATAAGGAACTGGAATACCCAGAGCACCGAATGTGTGTGCGTGCAGGTGTGCAATCGTATGTGCGTGTACTGCAATTTTAAGACTTTCTAACTTTTAGTGTAAACTCTAGAAAAGTGACTTGCTGGGGCTGGAAACGCTGGAGTGGAGTTTGAGGAATGAGGTTCCATTACATCATCTCCATTAGATTTACTCAGACCCAAAGAAAGGCGTCCAAGCTGGGCCTCATGACACACTTAAGAATAAACACAGCTCTCATTGTGTCCTCATCGCTAAGTCTGAGGCAAAAGCCAGCTCCTCCCCCAGGAGACTATCTCCCTCAGCTGAGCTGGAAGGAAGCATGGCCTACACCGCTCTGCCAATAAATCCAGAGTCCCAGAGGAGGAGAGGAAAAATCCCATAGACTTGCTTATGGTTCTGCCCTCCGCACCGACCTACCACCCACCTGTTGCCCTCATAAAAGAAGGATAGCACAGGGTCACCTCTGGCATCGACCTTCAGCACCTTCAGACAGTTGCCATTGAGAAAGTTATAAATCCGCATCTTGCCGTCTCCACAGGCACTGATGACGCGGAGGTAGAGAAGAGACACGTGCAGCACCTCCCTGCAAGGGGACAAAGAACAACAGGCAATACCCACCTTCGGGGACACTCTTCAGGTTTGCTCATGGTTTGGAGCGTTTGTGTGCGGCGGGGAGGTAGGAGCCTATCTAAGCCAGGGGCAGTGCTTGCACCTCTTAGGATTCTAGATGTAAATCATTAACCATTTCCGTTCCCAAGTATTTGCGGTTTTGTCGCAGTACAAAGGTGCTGCTTCAGGCTTTTAAGGGGGAGTTGGGGAGAGAGGTCTAGTATGTCAGATTTCCATTTGTTTTTTACATGTGCTTTGATTCTTAGCTATGTATTTATGCTGAGAATTAGATTTTTTTAAAATCCTTTTAGGACAGTTTTTTGCATAACAGTGTAGTTATATAAGAAAGAACAGTATAAGGCTAAGGATGATGATGATGATGATGATGATGATGATGATGATGATGATTATCATGGTCTTTTGAGACAGGGTTTCTCTGTGTAGTCCTGACCATCCTGGAACTTACTCTGTAGACTAGGCTGGGCTCAGACTCAGAGATCTGCCTGCCTCTGCCTCCTGAATGCTGAAATTAAAGGCGTGCACCACCACTGCCCAGCTCAAAATATGAACAGACAAATTTTTAGACTCTCTTTTTTGCTCTTTAATGAGTGGCCTTCATTCCTTCCAACAATAAACATCCTTAAGGGATGAGATTTGTGTCTTTCTATGGTGGCCAGTGGCAAGGAGGGAGCCACAGAAAAACCCAAAACAATCTTTCTCCAACTACAGGGTTTGTGTTGGTTTATTCCGTTCTGACAGATGTGCCTTTTGCTATTTATGGCCTTGAAAACTTGAATTTAATCACATCAATGTCTCAGATCTTACATGCAGGGCAAACTTGCCAGTCCTGACCTACCCACCCAGATCGCTGTGGGTCCCAGATGGTCCGCGAGGTAGAATCTTGGTCTCTGAGGTAGCCATGTTGAGAGAAACTTCTAAGAGGTGGGGCCTCATTGAAGCTGATTAATCACTGGGGCCCTGCCCTCGGCAGGTTTGAATGACACAGTTCACATACATCTCTAGTTAGTGACCGGGGCAAAGTTAGAAAGCAAGGCCACTTTAAACAGTTGGTCCCTTCTGGGTCTCCATGCAGTAATGCAGCACAGGGGTAGAAATGCCCTATGCAAAAGGGCTACCCTCACTGTGTCGTTCTTGACTTTGCGTGCTGGGCCTACACTTCCCCCGTGTTCTTGTGACATTTGGTAGTTCAACCCATAACAGTCTAGCCTATGAATACAACACAGGTCTCAGAGTCAGAAACCTGTGAAATCTGGTGCCACCGCCCGCTGTGGCTCCATACATCACTGAGGATGCCCCCTGCCCTCCCAGTCTTCCCTCTATACACACCCCACATCCCAAGGTGAGGAATAATTTCTACCTCATGTAATTTCTGCTACAATTAAATGAATTGATGTTTTTAAAATTTTGCCCAGCACCTGACAAAGTGGTGGTTACTGGTCTAAGACTAGCTCAGACTCCTTTCAGGTTTTAATTGCCCTGTAGATGTCCCCTGTTTGTTCATTCTTTCTGAAATCTACTTAGAATGTAACATCAGTGAAGATGGTGGAGCTGGGAACTACAAAATTCCGCCCTTCTGTAACAGCAACAAAAACCGTCAGAATCCATTTTTCCTCCAGAATCCTAGAAAATTACAGAAGCTTGCAGCAGCCCAAGAAGCATTTAAACAAGAAAAATAATGGTCTTAAGAAGTCGATAAGAGCACCAGCCAGGCATGGTAGCACACATCTTTAATCCCAGCACGCAGGGGAGGCAGAGACAGGTGGATCACTGTGAGTTCAAGGCCAGCCTGAGGGAGAGAGGGGAAGGAGAGAAAAAGAAGGAAGTGGAGACCCCATGGGTTGGGGGGGGCACAGGAAGAATCATGTGGCCAGGAGTTTACTCCGAGGATGGACGTGGCTGCAGAGAAGCAGCCCGGATGGAAAGCAGGTGCAAGTATTTATGTTATTTTGGATGGGATGCAGCCCAGATAGGAATGAGTAGAGCATGTGCCATGAGATAACGAGGTAGTTGAGAGGGTTAATATCTGCCTAGCCCCAAGTGAAATAAGACTCATTAAAAATCTATCAGGTGTCTGTGTCCTTTATTGATATGGTAGCAGGTTAAATAATAAGCACCCAAAATGATAGCAGGTTAAATAATAATCTATGGCTGAATAGTAAACCTTAATAGCCAAATATTTTCTACAACAAAAATCACCAGCCATCAAACCAGTTTTCTATGTTCAGATTCTCCCACACTATAATCAAAAATTGAAATTTTAGTTGAAAACATTAAATTCAAAAGAGAGATGCCTTTCTCTAACTCCTCTTCCAGATAGTAACTTGTCTACCGTATTCAAAAGACGAATATCAATGCAGTCACTAGAACGCTTCAGAGAAGCAATCTGTAAGTGAATGCTTGCTGCCAATCAAATATTTTGGAGCACTTATATCTAGCTAACACCATTATGGAGGGGTGAAGGGGCCTACAAACAGTGCATTAGCCATAACTACCTGGCCTCTAGATAGTTACGGTTTTTCTGTGTCCATGCCAGGTATCAACCAATGTGAGGCTGGAGAGATGGTTCAGTGATGGAGAGCGCTCTTTGTTCTTGCGGAAGACTGGGTGTGATTCCTAGCACACTCCTGGTGGCTTACAACAACCTATAACTACAGTTCCAAGGGCTCCGAACCCTCTTCTGACCTCCACAGGGACCAAACACTCACACGATGCACAGACTTATACGCCAGCAAAAACACTCACACATGAAATGAAATGAGTAAATCTGATTTAAAAAATTTAAATAACAAATATAAATGGTTTGTTGGTGGTGACATCCCACAAGAGTGGCAGGATTTGAAGTTGTCTGCTAACAGACAGGAAGGCTCATGGATTTAAGAGACAACAACCAGTCTGTCGGGTTTGCTGAAAACATCATTTTCCAGTAGCTAAGTCTTACTGGGCACTGTTTCGAAGGTTTTAAAAACATATAGTTAATAACTTTCAGAAAACATCATAAAGTTGGCTCCCCCTTGAGGTCATAGCTTGCTTGACCTGGTGGTATGCTGAAGGGTTTGCTCGAAGTTCCATGGGGGGGTAAATTCACTGAGCATAGGTGCTTCCCAGCACCCGCCTGCTAATAAGTAGTTACCGTTTTCCACCCAGAGCAGACCCATGACTGCTGTAATAATCTACGGCTTATTAGTAGACCTTAGCAGCCAATACCATATGCCTCTCGTGGCACTGGTGGATAAGGAGTGTCCAGAGATCTAAACAACCCTCAGATAGAGTCCCCTAGGAATCCACTTACTCTTTTAACCAAGTAATACAGCATTCTGTTTCTTGGCACTTTAATGCTCTAAGGGTAAGAAGCATCATCCGTGTAGTCTATAAAGCCGTAGGCATGGCAGAATCAGTAATTAGCCACAGTAGTCTTTCCAGGTGAGCCCAGCTTCGAGCTCAGAACACTACTTGGCAGGCACCAAGCAGCCATCAGCACTGAATTTGAACAGGAGTGGAAAATGAAACTCACTTGCAATCCTGGAACAGAACCTAGTCCGTAAACTTTGAAGTATAGACTTTTAAAATGTCTTTTGTTATTTTTAAAGCTTGACACATTGGATCATTTTAAGGTTTTAAGAGCATATTTTCTGGCATAAAGACCAAGTTCAGGAATTCTAAGTTTAGAGTAGGCATTGTTTGGGACAATCTGTCAGTGAGCCAAACAGCCAACAGGTATGATTTTGTCATGTGTTTTCTGTAATCTCAGCACTCAGTAGGCTAAAGCAAGATCACAAGTTCAAACCCAGCCTGAGCTACATAGGGAGATCTACTCTCACTCCACCCACTTTGCCCAACAACTTCTCAAAATGTATATCCAGTGTTATTATTTCTCAAGAGAAAAAAGTGAGGGTGGGAAAGAATGTCCAGAAGGGAGGGCAGTGGTAGGAACGGGAAGAAAGCAGAAAGGAGTGAGGAAAAGAAGGGCCGGAAGAGCAGCATTGCACAGGGGGACCCATCCAGCAAATTTACTGTCCCACTCCCCAGCACCTACTTAGGATGCTTGAAGGCCATCAGACACCGCTCATATTTTCCTATCATGCTCCAGCCCATGACCAGGCCATCAGCACCTCCAGTCAGGATATGCCATTGGTTAAAGAACAGGCACTTCACAGCTCCCTCGTGACCAGTGAGAATCTGCAAGAAAAGATGTCACTGCCTTCAGACTCTCACAGTTTAGATGGTGACTCCTCCAAAACCAGAGCCGGGCCTTCCTAGTGGAACTGTCCCCAAAGCTCTATCCCACTATTCTGTGCCTGCCCCCTCGCTTAGCATGCCCATCATCTGACTTAACTTCTCCTCTATGAAGGCTGGAGAAGCCCATGCCTCCCTCTTGGCAGAAGGCTCTTCCCCACTCAAAAGGAATATGACTAAGGTTAGATCCGTGTTCTGGTTATGTCCATGGCAGGATGGACTCCATCTCTCTGGAGCACAGAGAGTTCTGAAGTCCCTCTTCTCTACCCAAACTTTGCCACAACTCAGAGGATATACAGGGTCATTCTTATGCCTGCAGATGAGGCTCAACCACAAATAAGATGGATGTGGGGGAAAAAAAAAAACTATGTCCCACTTCAGTCCTGTGATCCAGCAAGAATGTGTTTGTGAACACAGGCTGCAGTTTGGACACACCCCACAGAATTCACAGGTTAGAGGTTGAACCTTCAGATTCATAAGTCGATGTTCAAAACCCATAAGCCCCTGAGAGGCGGTGGCATTGTGAGGCTCTGCTCTCAGCGGCGTGTTGATCTGGTCAGGAACTGGTGGCTTATCCTGGGGGAGACTTTGTCATAAGGGCATCTGATGCCCTGCACCATGGCATGGCCCAGCCCAAAGGCCTTTACCAAATGCCAGCACTGTGCTCCTGGGCTTCAGGCCTCCAAAACTATGAGCCAAATAAACGTCTGTTCTTTATAAACTATAGTCTAGTTAAAACTATAACTACATATATAACTATATCTATCACTATGGTTTTTGTTAGGAGTGACAAAACACAGACCAGACTAAGACAATTTCTAATGACTTTCAAGATGCTGGGTGTTCTTACTTTTCTGACACTCAATTCTTTATTTTTTATTTTTTATGCTTTACTGAAATAATTGGTGGTGGGACTTCCTTAGAAAAAGAGAAAATAATGTATTGAAAATAAAAACGTGTTCATCCCCTGACCACCAGTTAGGGCCAGGATAGGATAGTCTCTACCCTTACCACTGTTAGGAGGCCCTGGGACTCATATGCTGTAACTGTGCAGAGTGAGAATGCAGCCTTCGTCCACCCACTTTTCCTAATGTGGAGCACGGTGTGTGTGTGAGGGGGTCCTGCCATCCCGACCCACCCTGTCTTTGGAACCCCTTCATCGAGTGGCTCTGGGTGTCCCTGGTGGCTGGCTCCTACTCAATTGCTCGAGGATGGTCTAGGGAGCTCTGTGGAGTAACAGAGCTTCCTGTCCTTTTAATCAATCACCAGTGTGCCTGCTGCGGTGCCAGCTCGATGCCTACTCACCTTTAACAGCTGAGCTGTGACAGCATGCCACACCTTGACTATGCCTCGCTCACAGCTGCTCACGATGTAGGTGTCACTGATCTTGGCAGCCATGATGGGGTCTTTGTGTTTAAATGTCTTCAGGCACTTCCCTGTGTCTATGTCCCATTCTGACCGGGAAGGGTGACAGGGGAGGCAAGGGGGAGGGGAGAGGGTTACAGTGAAGTTCTGCTTCTTGTCATAAAACTGAGCTTATTGAATCTTCCCCAGAAACCGTCACCTGGCTGGCACCCCTCCAGGCTCACTGGGCTCACCAGCAGTGACACAGCGCCCCCGTGTGACACACAGACCCTTGGGAAAACCCAACAATGCAGAGGAGGCCTTTGCTCTGACGCTGCAACTCTGCCTTGGAACGGCAGTGCTGCCCAACTCATGTCCAATACGCCTGAATATTCTTGCTATTGAATGTAGTTGATGAAAATCACGGCATGGGTAGTGGCGTGGGCCTCCCCAGGTGTTCTCTTCCTGGCCCACACCTGTGACCAACAAAAGGCGTGTTGTCATCCCTTCTAGGTGTTTCTGACTCGGACTTCGGGATTTTGTGACATCATTTCCACAGATGGGGTGGGTCAGATGCTGTTGCTCTGCAGACTGTGTTAAGAGTCCCGAGGATCAGGTGCGGGTGGGAGGGGATGGATATGCGAGCGCACAGAGCTTAAAGTGGGGACCACAAGTTCCCGGATGAATGCTGAAAGTCCTTCTTCCCCGGCCCCTAAAGGTACCTTTGACCTAAAGTGACAGGACAAATGGCCTTAACCAGTAACCAGAGACAAACACGGCCAGAGCTGAGACTAGCAACGCAGTAAGAATGAGCGAGGAGCTAAAGTGTCTGCAGTGTGCTCTCCTCTTCGCAGGGCAAGCACTGTTCCTACTCCCCACTGTGCAGATGAGGAAACTGAGGCCTAGAGTGTAGGAACTTCCTCCAGTTAGAAAAGGAGCTGGGAACCGAAACCGGTGCTTCTGGGACCTCAGGTTCCACTGGCCCTTTTTTGTGAGCTGAAGTCTCATGCTTTAAGTATGCTTTCCTTCCTTTGTTCTTCGCATGGACATCTTGTCCCGTTTATAACATTACCAGGGATGAACACTGAAAAACTAGCTGGGTGGTGGAGGTGCACAATAATCCACCCAGCACTCAGGAGGCAGAGGCGGGCAGATCCCTGTGAGTTCGAGGCCAGCCTGGTCTACAGAGTGAGAGTTCTCTAGGACAGCCAGGGCTATAGAGAAAAACCCTGTCTCAAAAAGAGAAGGAGAGAGAGGGAATGAGGGAAGGAAGGAAGGAAGGAAGGAAGGAAGGAAGGAAGGAAGGAAGGAAGGAAGGAAGGAAGGAAGG